TGCAGTCAACTGATTTTGGCATAAGACAAGTCAGTGGAGAAAAGAAAATCTCTTTAGCAAATGGTGCTGAGAAAACTGGGTATCCACCTGCAGGAAAATGAAACTAGACCCCTATCTCTCACCATTAGCAAAAAGCAGCTCAAAATAGATGAAAGATCTAGCCATGTCTCCGTTTTGCTCACCAGTCACATTGCATAGCCATTTACTAGTCATGTCTAAGCATGAGATTCTGTTTACGTGTCACACAATCTGCAAACAAACAAACAAAAAAACTATTTCTTTGTTGGGTAAAGAAAGACTTAAAGCAGTGATATGGTTTTCTGAAGGTGACATACATACCTTGCTGCTCACACACACACACACACACCGTGCTTGTATTATTCACTTTATTCACTTCTTAAATCAGATGGAGAATACGGCAGAGCCTGTAATCAGATAGACCATCCTTTGATATAAGTCAAGACAACCTGCTGGCAGCCCAGCTTGACATGCAGTATCTGGACATTCACAGGTCCCCCCTGGGCTGCTGCCACAGAACCCAGCTCAGCTCCTCAGGGCAGAGCTTGAAGTCCACAGATTAGTCCTTCCTTTCTCAGCCTCTGTCCTCCAATCACTGAGCCTGCCTTTCCCTTCCAAAACAGTTCTCAAATGCTTCCACCTCCCACCCCTCGGCCTCCCCCAGGCCTTGCTCTCTCTGCCTTCTCCTCTGAAAATCAGCACCATTAGCCTCTGTCCAGTAATAAAGGATGCCTTAAGTAAATGCAGTTATTTGTAGTAGCAAGTGTGAGGGAGTGTTCAAAAGTTCATGAAAATGTGTGCTATGAAAACAAGATTCATAACACGATTGCACCTAAACTCATGCCTTAACTCCATTTTTCTTTTTCATTTGCCATAGGGCACATATACTTACCAGGGGAAAGGGAGAGATAGAAGAGAAGAGAGGAAGAGAGAAAGAGAAAGAGAGAGAGGAGAGAGACAGTCAGACATTCTCAACAGGATTTCATCATAATCTAAACTCCTTTCCCCAGCCCTCCAGTTCTTCAGGTTCTTGGGCGTACGTGTGGATCCAGCACGTTTTCAGGCTGACCCAGGGGTCTTAAGCTGAGTCGACTACATAGTTTCCAACCCGGCAGTTGAGTATGTTATCGACTGTACTACCAGGTTTGTCTCAAAAGTCTTATTTTCAAAGAAAACTTAATATTATGGGACAACACTCATAAGTGTCACAGGTAAAGTATATGTGCCACAGAATTTCCAGGATCTAACTGTATGTTCATACTCATAGAAAAAGACACTGGAAGGAAATACTGTGTACTGGAAAGTGAACTGTACCTTTTCAATGGGAAAAAGCTTTTGGATAATTTTTACTTTTAACTTTCTAATGTTTTTCTCCTTTTTTGGCAAATTTTCTACAATAGGCATGTATTCTTTTAAATTAGAAATATTTTAATAATATCTTCACCCTGTTGAGTAGTTTGTACTCTTCCCCTTCAAAGCTGCAGCCTCCTTTAATTGATAAGACTGCAAAAGGAGCCAGAAACAAGGAGCCTAATCAAGGGGGGTGATTCTACAAGAATCCTTAGAGGGAATGAAACTTGAGCTACTTTTTGCCATAGGGCGGGCGCCACCAAGCCCAAACTTGAACTATTTTTGACAGGGGGTCAATCGCCAAATTGGGGGGAATAGGAGACAGGTATTTCAGGCAGAGGAGACAAGCACAAAGCATAGAAACAAAAGAAGAGAAAGTGGGGCCAGCAAGTGGTATGGTGGTTAAGGGGACTGGATTCCACACGGCTGACTACATGGTTTGAGTCCCAGATCCGGTGGCTTGAAAGAACATGCAAAGTGCACGAGAGGAGAATGGAGGGAAAGGGATTGTGGTGTGGCCATTCCTTTTTCCAAGTGATTTCCTATTTTCCCTCTCTCTCTATGTCCTCCCTCTCTCTAGCTAGTGAACATGCCCTACTGAAAATTTTGAAAAAGAAAAAGAAAGAAGAGAAAAGTAAAAGTGGTTTGAATCTAGCTAGTCCTGAGCTCTGACTGGCAGGAGACAACCTTATTATCTTGGAATCCTTGTGAGCTTATATGAGGAGTCTTCACAAAGTCTGTGGAAAATATGTATTATTTAAAAAAACTATAGGGAACCAGCAGTTAGCGTAATGGCTATGTCGCTGGACTCCCATGTAGTCGACCGTGGTTCACATCCCGGACCCGGTGGCTTAAAACTCACGCCAGGCACGTGTGCGGACGTGCCCAAGATCCTGAGAGAAGAATGGAGGAGAAGGGATTGCAGTGTGGCCATCCCCCCGGGGGGTGATTTCTTGCTTTCTGTCTCTATGTCTCTCTCTGTCTGTCTGGCGAGCACACTCGCCCTATAGCAAAAAAAAAAAAAAAAAAAAAAAAAAAAAAAAAAAAAAACACCTCTTCAAAAGCTATATATGGATTTCAAAAAAATGTTTTCACCAGAATAAACACTTTAATTCTATTTTTCCATGAACTTTTTGAAGTCCCTTCTAGGCTATATCTATAGTGCATAGTGTATACCAGTATGTGTTTGTGGAATATATAGAAGATAACAATAATACAGCTGGCCCCACATGAGACGGTTCTAGGTTCATTCCCAGGTCCTCTCTATACATGCTAGGCAAACATGTACCCATGATCTAAGCTAGCTGAGGCTGGGAGTGGACCATGGCACATCTTTCTATCTCTGTCTATCTCACTCACGGAAGAAAAAAAAATGACACCACCACATCAGTATCCTCGTTCACACCTTATCTTGTTGCCCCATGATCATGGGACCTTCTTTCAGAGGAGAGACAACTTCACATCATGGTAGGCCATTGCCTTCCATTTGTAGCCCAAATTCTCAAACTAGTCAAGTGCTAGGGAGTAGCTTTAGAGAGTTAAAGGATTACTTCTAGGGCATGAGGATCTTTGGGCATAAAGCCACAGGAAAGGCTTGAAGACCTTGGGGTGAACACACAAGAGAGGAGGAGGGGGAGAACAGAGAAGCCTTAGAACAATTGCTCTAGCCACAGACCTACTCTTAGCCTTCCAGCACCCTCTCATCTTTCCAGTGTGACATTCCACAAGGTGGTTGTGTCTACACTGCTTCAGACCCTTTGGGAAACAAACTCACTCTCCTGTCTGCTCTTGATAACTCCAGCTGCCCCCTCTTCCTACTGCCACTTCCTGAGGAGATCCTTCTAAGGGATTAGTAAATGGTTTCTCGGAGATTTCAGGGTTTGAACAAAATCCAACTACAGTTTACTTCACTTCCTTCTCATACCCTGTCCTTTCATTTGACACTGACTTCTCCTGAGCCCTCTTCCCATAGTTTGCTTAGTTACCTCTGCTTCAACTTTGCCCATAGACACCTGCCACATCTTCTCTTCTAATCTGAAGGTTTACTGCAGCCCATGATGGGGGGAGAAATGAAGATGGAGTTTACAGGAGCTATAACATGACCTTGGGCCAGTCTAACCCTGAGCTTCAACAAAGTGGAGGTAATAATCCCCACTCTGTCTACCTCACAGGGTTCTAATGTGATCATGCATATGGGGTGCCACACAATTTCTGATACCAAGTTGATTTAGTTTCCGTGCCCTAATCCTTCAGGGAGCATGACTACTTTCATCTGGGCCTTCTCAGATTGAGAAGAGAAGCCATTTTGTTGTTGTTGTTGTTGTTGTTTTGAGAGGTTTTTGCTATAGGGTGTGTGTGCTCACCAGAAAGACAGAGACAGAGAGATAGAAAGCGAGAAATCACTCCCCGGGGAGGATGGCCACACCACAATACCTTCTCCTCCATTCTCCTCTTCGGATCTTGGGCATGCATGCACACGTGCCTGGCATGAGTTTAAGCAACCAGGTCCAGGACTCGAACCACGGTCGACTACATGGGAGTCCAGCAACACAGCCATTATGGCATCTGCTGGTCCTAAGAAGAGCAGTCATTTTATGATCATTTTCATGTTGAGAACCAGAAATGCCTATAATTCTGAAATTATTAGGTCATTGAAAGAGCCATGACACTTTTTTGGGGGGGGGAGAGATTTTTGCTATAGGACACGTGTGCTCACCAGAAAAACAGAGAGAGAGAAAGAGAGAGAGAGAAAGCGAGAAATCACCCCCAAGGGGGGATGGCCACACCGCAATCTCTTCTCCTCCATTCTCCTCTTCGGATCTTGGGCATGCATGCACACGTGCCTGGCATGAGTTTAAGCAACCAGGTCCAGGACTCGAACCACGGTCGACTACATGGGAATACAGCAACATAGCCATTATGCTAACTGCTGGTCCCGACCATGGCATATTTTTCTATGCAAACACACATTACGACTTTCCCGATGATGCAATATTACAAATATGTTGAATCTGGAATGGTGGCTTACTTTATGGGTCCCAAACTCCCCTGGTGGGCAAATAATTCATTTACATTTAAGAGGAATGGGCCTGAAATTTCCTAGACCACGAGGGTGGGAAGTCATTCTTTCAGACCAAGTAATCTTGTTTTAATACTAATAGTGAGTGGATAGGTGGATATAAAGGTTCAGATGGTGAGATCATTGTAAGGGAAGAAGAGCTGGGGGTGAGGGCTGAGGATGGGAGACAGAGTACTAAGTCTCTGTGTCTGATTTACAAAGTTCTCTGCTGTGAACGAGACCTGCCCAGGTTTGCATGTGCACCTACTGTGTCTTAGACCCTCAGTTACTCACGGTGATTCCTACCTGGGAATCAAAAGCAGGTGTGCTGTATCAGGGTTCATCCTTTCTAAGTACTGACACCTCTGAGTATCTGATAGAAGCACTGAACCTCCCTACAAAAATGTACCACTGTACATTCAGAAAAAAAAAAAAATTGCTCTCAGTTCTCTAATGCTCTCAGATAAGAAAAAAGAAAAATCTATGGGGCTTCCTGTTCCTGGTCTGGGCCCTGACATTGGGGGGGGTGGGGGGGTGGAGGGCGTGGAGATGAGTCACTGGTGAGCTCCCTCGAGTATCGTGAGTTCCCTTTCTACCTTCGGCCACTTTCTTTCTAGCACAGCTCTCGGCTGTCTCCACCGTGTCTAAGAAGCTCTGGAAATCAGAATGTGCTCTAGAAGATGGTGTTTGGATCTGAAACTGTTACTGCCTCTGTTGTTTCTTGCGATCAGCATTCAAGGTATTTTCCACCACTGACTTCTCATATGTGTGTACCGAAAGCATAGTCAGATGGAAGGGAGGGGGGAGACAGGATGTAGTTCAACCCTGAGGTGGGATCTGGCCTCCAGGCAGCAGGTGCTCTCACCCCCATCCCAGGGCTCTGGCAAGTTTGGGGAGCCTTCCTCAGCCTTGGAGAATGGGGTCCATCTCTTTTCCCAAAGGACATGACAAAAGCATGGGGAAATAAGGCCCCTCATATTTCTTCCCACAGCCGGTCGCTTGTGAAGTCGTGGGAGAGTGATTTTGTACTTTAGTGAGAGGAAGCTCTTCAATGGTAGCTGCTATGTTTTGTGCTCAGTCACTCTGTGTTTGTGCTCCTGTAGATATTCTTGGAGATCTCTGTATGAGGGGACTTCTAAAAGTTCATGGAAAATGGAAATAAAGAATGGGTTTATTTTGGTACCAAAAGAAAGAAATCTAAACGTTGTTTTTTCCTAATACATATTTTCCACAAACTTTTTGAAGTCCCCTTCAGTACATGCAAGGAGTCGTGTCCTGATCCAAGGTGATAATAGTCTTTGTCCCAATGATCAAAATTGCAGGACAGAAAACTTGGAAAAGATAGTTCTGCCTAAGGTCTCTGAATGAGGATCTGAGAAGTTCAAGATGCCTCAGTATCAAAGGAGCCCCCAAACATCTCTGATTGTTGTGTTAAGATTGATTCTTCTGCCAGGGCCTGTTCCGGTCCTCCTTGTGTGCACGACAGCACTACCTCTCCTTTTCCTGCTATGGCTGCCTGACCCTCTTTCTTCAGCTATTACCTGACTCCCCAGGACAGCTAAGAAGCAGGGATTTAAGCTCTTATCTTTCTTGCTGGTCTCCCAAAGAAATACTGGGGTCTTTAGCACTCAAAGGGTTTTAATCCTCATCACTTGGAAAAACTGAGTGAAAATGAACAAGTAAGGGGAAGTTACACAGCATCATAAGAGTACGGTAGATGCAAAATTCAGAGATAAGAGAGCAATGCTCTATGTAAACATGGTTGATAGCTAACAAGGCCTGTCGGGGTGGTAGTCCTTTGAGGGTGGCTCAGGATTATGTAAATGCAGAGACACTGTCCTCGGGCTGGAGTTGTGCAGGCTCCACGGTCCTGACTCAACTCACGGGACATTGGTAAGGCCTCGGCAGTGGGGCCGATGTGAAGTACGGTCCAGTTGTTCGGAAAGGTAGTATTGCCAGCAAGAACTGAAATATTCCAGGGCTGGGCCAGCATGTAGCACCGGGTGGTTAAGGCACTGGGTTTCATGTGGCTGACTCCGTGGCTCAAGTCCCAGATCTGATGGTTTGAAAAACATGCCGAGTACATGTGTGTGTGTGCTTAAAATCCTGAGAGGAGAAAGGATTATGGTATGGCCATTCTCCCTGGGCTGACTTTTCACGGTCCTTCTTTCCACGGTCCTTCTTTCTCTCTGTCTCTTTCTAGTGAGTACACTTGCCCTATGGCAGAAATCTTTAGAAAAAAAAAAGAGAGAGAGAGAAAGATTCTAGGACTTTCTCTAGACAAGTCAAAAGCACTTTAGGTTAGCATTATCCCTTTGTGTAAATTGGGCAATAAAATAAAAATTAAGGATTGATTGTGTGGTAGGCATTGTGGGAGGCATTTTTGTATATGATCTTGTTTAACTTCAATGAAAAATTGGTGAGGTCTCTATTATCCGCATTTTTCAAATGAGGATACAGTCTCGTCCCTTTGTGTGCTTACGGTCAGATCAAGGTGGGTCCGTGGGTCATCTCAAAGGCTTCATGCACATGGCTGCTGACTAGGCTGAGGAGGACTCCAATAGCTGGGTGACTTGCAACATCCAGAGTGTCCCCAGAGAAACAGCAAACCTGTGTGGTCTTTCCTAACCCAGCACTTCAGACCACAATTCTGCTGTCTTCTATCCACTGACACCATCATCAAGGTCTGCCCAAATTCAAGGAGAGGGAACATAAACTCTGTCTCATGATGGGAGGAATGACACATATTTTTCAGACCTTAGGAAAACTACTATAATCTTCCCTCCCCTCAGACTTATTGCTCTCTCACTGTTCTCTGATTTAATAAATGTATCTCCATTTGTCCAGTGGTCCAAGCCAGGATTCTAGAAGTTACCTTCAATGATTTTCTTTCTCTTACCTTTCATGTTCAGTGAATAACTCCAATTAATTCTACCTTCATCTCTCTCAAGGGCCAGCCAGTGTGTGGTGGTTTAGGTGCTAAATTACATACAGCTGACTACACAGTTTGAGTCCCAGACCCAGCAGCTTGAAAATCATGCCAGGCACATACCCAAAATTCAAAATGGAGGAGAAGGGATTGTGGCATGGCCATCCCCGCTGTGTATTGACTTTCCTCTCTCCCTCTTTCTGTCTCTCTCCAGTGAGCACAAGCACCCTGTAGTAAAAACAAAAACAAACATAAAAGAATATCTCTCAAATAGGTCCAATTTCACCTAATCCCACTGCAACCTATCCTGGATCAAGTCATCAGTTTCTCCTTTCACCCCAATAGTTGCCCATTCCACCTGTTCTTTTCACTCCATTCTATGTAACCTATTCACCACACTGCCATTGGTATACATTTTCTACAATGGTTGTCTGTTTATATCTGCTTAAATTTCTTCATATCCCAGTAGCCAATGAGAAAGCAGAACTCTGAAGAGGAAGCTCACAGTCACAGTGCGGTCACTTCCTGCCCTCCTCCAGTCTATGCTTTAACCAGCCCAACTACTTTCACTTCTTTAAATGAGACTTGCTTTTATTCTCTGGCCACTTGATACTGTTCTTTTCTCTTCTGGCTGGAACACTCAGTAGTCCCAGTCCTCATCGTTCTGTGTCTTAATCCCACTTATATTGATTCCTACTCACTTTTGCTGTGAAATCCTTTGTGACCCCCAAAATCAAATGATGCGATCCCTCTTATGTGCCCCTTCAACCTTCCATATTTTCCCAATCCTAACATTGATTACCACTAACGGAATTGTTTGGTTAATTGTCTCTATTCCTTGAAGTGGAAGTGCTTTAGAGAAGGAGCTATATCTAGGTCCATATTCTCTAAGTGCCTTAGAGAAGGAGCTACCCACACATAACCTAGCACATAGTAAGCGCTTACTATATAGTTATTAGGTGAGTGAATTAACTTATGGACATGTGTGTATGGATAAATGGATGGAGGGATAGAAGGAGGAAGAAGGGAGTAAGTTATAGGTCACCGTTTCACCCAAGTCTTGCTGGCTCTGAAAAGTTGTCTTCCATTTCCCATGGTGGCTATTTCACACCTTCACCCTTATTCTCAAGACATCTTACTTCAGTCCTCTGCCCTCTCAGCAGAGCTGCCTCCTACTTCACTGAAGAAGTGGGAATCAGAGGTCATTAGGCAGGAAGCCCTTCCATTTCCTGACTGTCTCAATCCAAACTAGGAGCTTCTCTTCATCACCAGTTGCCTTCCTCTTCTGTTTTCCCTCAGAGGATGAGGTATCCCCCATCCTGTTCCTTCAGCTCTGCTCTGAGCCCCCAGCATCTAATCCCATCAGTCACCTCCTTTCACTCTGTTCTTTCCCTCCACTTGCTCCTTCCCTTGGCCTATCATAGCTTATGTTTTTTTTTTCCTTCCTAAATATTAGACTAAAAAAAGGAAAAAAGTTATCTTTACCTTTCATGCTCTTTTACAGAATACAGTCTCCTTCCCATTCACACTGACATCTCTTTTTATACAAATAATTATTTATTTAATTTTATTTATTATTATTATTCTATAATTTGACCAGAGAGATAAAGAGAAAGTAAGAAAGCAAGTCACCTGGTTTGGGGCTCAAACCACGGTCAACCATGTGGGAGTCCAGTGCCTTAACCACCATGCCACTGGCCGGCCCCCACACTGACATCTCTTGAAAGAATAGTTCATTTCTGGTATATCTTCTTCCTCTACATCAGATTCCACTGTAATATTGTCTTCCAGTTCATTATACTTCATATCTCAGATAACAATACCCTGTTGTCATCCAAGATACCCTTCTCTTCTCACCCAAGACAAGATAAGGACAGATATGGCTTTACTCTCTACTGACAAACAACTTCCTTAAAGATTTGTATAGACTTGATAAATATTTGATCTCATCAGAGAACTCCAGATTTTCTACATCAACATCTTCAAAACTCACTTCCTTTTCTTGCTTAAGACTTTTGCTAGAAACCATGTGACTTGTTTTTAGAGTAGTCAGGACTTCCTTTAGATAACCTCTTTCTCTTACCTGGGCACACTCTTTGGTGCAGGATTATGAGTTCCTTTGATGATTCCTGGCCCTCCCCCTTTATAATTCTGCCTTCCTGTAGACAAGAAACATGGTGGACACAGAAAGCATATCTTTCTTTTCTCTTATTTTTAGACTTTATTTATTTGTTTAATTCCATTTATTATTATTATTTATTTATTTATTTTTAGTTTGACCAGAGAAAGAGAAAGGAAAAGTGAAAAAGCAAGCCGCCAGGTCCAGGATTCAAACTGAGGTCAGCCATGTGAGAATCCAGCACTTCTAACCACCACATCACCTGCTGGCCCGTTTCTTTTCTTATTATAAGCTATAGGTAACTTTATGCTAAGCATCCAGACACATTACCAACTACTTTTTCCTGTTGGATTGAAATAGTAGTTTTCACCTACCTTATGAAAGATGGAACTATGGATCAGCAGGTGACATAGAGGTTATGGTGCTGGATTCTACATGACTAACTCTGTAGTTCAAGTCCCAGATCCAGTGGCTTGAAAATCACGCTGGGTAAGTGTGCTTATGTGCCCAAGATCCCAGGAGGAGAATGGAAGAGAAATGATTGCAGTGTGTCCATGCCCCTGGGGAGTGATTTCTCACTTTCCTGCCCCCGTGGAGTGATTTCTCTCTCTCTCTCTCTCTCTCTCTCTCTCTCTCTCTCTCTCTCTCACTCTCTCTCTCTCTCTCTCCGACAAGCACATTCACCCTACAG